ACAACTGCTGTTGACCTCATAAGTTCTAGTTTAAATTTGTTGCTTATCTTAACACTTTTTTTTTTCTTTATTAGATTCCATTCTTAAAACATTAGCCTTCGTGAAAGGGAACTGTTTTTCGCCTTATTTCCATGCGATGGTTATGTATATTAGTGCAATTTTGCGTTTGGTTCTACTGTTCTAGTACCATAGAAGTCCGTAACTTAGGTTGAGTTAATGATCTGAATAACTAGATTAAGTTTGGCTCGTAAGCCTGTAAATTCTATCAAATTATGCTTGAACTTATTGAAAATCTTAGTGCTATGAACGTATCATCTTTACAAATTGAGATGTGATTTCAGTTCGCAGCTTGTTTTCTAAGTATAAAAATGGAGACGAGGCGCCTGGTCCCTGCTGAAAATGATGCGTCGAGCAACAAACTAGCAAGATTGATTTCTTTGTCATTGATGGCCTACAACAAACTTTCAAGGCTGTGATGAGAAGCTAGGTTAATAATTATCGAGAGAAGAAAATAGTCAATGTTAAAAGTAGGAGTGAAGGATAGAAAGTGTTTATTATATGTTAAAAATCTTTAAAAACTAACAATGGAATAAATCTTAAAATGCTTAATTTTATTTATTTATATTTTCGACTATTATAACATAAAAAAACTAAAAAAATCCTAAAATAATGAATAGAAAAAAAACTAGAAAAAATATCTCTTTTAAACAGAAAAAAACTAGAAAAGCTTATGAAAAATAAATTAATAAAATATTTATTTTAAAAAAAATGAATTGGTTTAGTTTTTAATTAAAAATTATTTTTTATCAAAAATATTTTTTTTTAAGTCTGAGTCATTCTATTATGGGTTCCTAATATATTTGTGTGTCACCTTGTTATAGATTCATAACACATTAGATATTATTGTTATGTAATACACAAAAAAAAAAAAAAATCATCAAGTATAATTGAACTTTAATATAATTAATTGAAGGAGATGAGATTAAATGATAAAAGTATTTGTTATATGTCAAAACACTAAAAAAAAAAAACACCATAAATATAAAGAGACTTTCAAAATATTTAATTTTATTTATTGATGTCTTCACTTTCCAAAATTTTATTACAACCTTTTATATATAAAAAAAAAACTAAATTTCTAAAATAATGAATAAAAAATATAAACTAAAAAGGGAATTTCCTTCCAATAAAAAAAACTAGAAAAATATAATAAATAAAGAAATAAATACAGTACAACTAAAAATAATTATTATTTTCCTAAAAAATATCATTTTATGTGCCTCGTTCATCTTCTCTTCCAATACTTATGATGAAAAAACCATTCGCAATTTGTGGCTACATTTTTGTTTCATTGATTGGTGCTGGATACGGGTAAGAATTTATAAGATTTTAGCAGAATTCCAGGCTAAAGTTTAGTTGCTTTCGGTGATTTCAATAAAGTCATGAAGAAAGTGATGCCTATGTCCTGTCCCATTTGCCGTATCTCGCAACGCAGCGCGATCAAGCATGCTTCAATTGCCTCTTTATTCAATTATTTATCCACTGTTGTCAGGTAAGAGTAATATGATGTTTAGACTTATACTTAGATTTGTGATTTAACAATAAACATGATATTATAATAATAATAATAATAATAATAAAGGTTATCTTCAATGATATTGTAACTGTGATTTTCAAAAACAGCTTCTTCTTGATTCTAGATTTTCCTTCTTAAGGAAATAAAAACAAGGCTGAAATGAAAATTTATTCTCCTTTCTGGTCTGTTTGTTTTTATATTTGATATTAGTTAATTTTTAAAAAATATTCAATTTATTTTTTTAAATATTTTTATTATAATTTTGATGTGATAATATTAATATTTATCTTTAAAAACTAACAATGTAATAAATCTTAAAATACTTAATTTTATTTATTTATATTTTCGACTATTATAACATTTTAAAAAATAAAAAATCTTAAAATAATGAATAAAAAAACTAGAAAAAATATCTCTTTTAAACAAAAACAAAACTAGAAAAGCTTATGAAAAATAAATTAATAAAATATTTATTTAAAAAAAATGAACTGGTTCAATTTTCCATTAACAAGTATTCTTTATCAAGAACATTTTTTTTTAAGTGTGAGTTATTTTATTGTGGGTTCCTAATATATTTGTATTTCATCTTATTATAAATTCATAACACATTAATTATTATTGTTATGTGATACACAAAATAATAATAATAATAATAATCAAGTATAATTGAACTTTAATATCAATTGACGAAGATGAGAGTAAATGATAAAAGTATTTATTATATATCAAAAAACTAAAAAAAAAAAAACACTATGAATATAAAAAGACTCTCAAAATATTTAATTTCCAAAATTTTATTACAACCTTTTATATATATAAAAAAGAAAACTAAATTTCTAAAATAATGAATAAAAAATATAAACTAAAAAAGGAATTTCCTTCTAATAAAAAAACTAGAAAAATATACTAAATGAATAAATAAAGTACAATTAACTAAAAATAATTATTATTTTCCTAAAAGATATCATTTTATGTGCCTCGTTCATCTTCTCTTCCAATACTTATGATGAAAAAACCATTCGCAATTTGTGGCTACATTTTTGTTTCATTGATTGGTGCTGGATATGGGTAAGAATTTATAAGATTTTAGCAGAATTCCAGGCTAAAGTTTAGTTGCTTTCGGTGATTTCAATAAAGTCATGAAGAAAGTGATGCCTATGTCCTGTCCCATTTGCCGTATCTCGCAACGCAGCGCGATCAAGCATGCTTCAATTGCCTCTTTATTCAATTATTTATCCACTGTTGTCAGGTAAGAGTAATATGATGTTTAGACTTATAATTTTATGTATGTATATACATTCAATTATTTATCCACTGTTGTCAGGTAAAAGTAATTGATGTTTAAATTTATACTTAGATTTGTGATTTAACAATAAACATGATATTATAATAATAATAATAAAGGTTACTTTTTTTTAGATTAATATGAATATCTAAATTAATTTACAAGCAATATAACTAATTTCACGAGCCCTGAATTTAAAAATTATATAAATTTCTAGTAACTATTATATGAATAACAAAAAACTCGAACTTGAGATCACAGATAGAATAAATTCTTTAATTCTAATTCTTTAATTCTAAATTTTTAATATTTGACTACTATCTAAATAGTTATTTTGAATGATATTGTAACTATAATTTTCAAAAACAGCTTATTCTTGATTCTGGATTTTCCTTCTTAGGAAAATAAAAACAAGGCTGAAATGAAAATTTATTCTCCTTTCTAGTCCTTAGTCCTAGTTTGTTTTTATATTTGATATTAGTTTAATTTTTTAAAAATATTCAATTGATTTTTTAAAATATTTTTGTTATAATTTTGATGTGATAATATTAATATTAAAAAATCTTAAGAAATATTTTTATGTTAAAAAAATTTAAAACACAGTAACACAGAAACTTATTAGCCGGTGATTTCGGTAATCAAAAGAAAGTAAAAAACTGGTTGTTCTTTTGTCTTCCCAATACTGAAGCCTAGAAGTTTCAGCATGACACTAAATGATATGCTGATATGGGAGTATTCAATGCTTAACAGTGAAAATAATGATTTGAAGCATAAGTAAAGTATCCATGGCGTGACCTTTCACCAGCTTCCATGAAGAATTAAGTCTCGAAATGATGCTCACATGTCTACAGAAGATTTCTTAATAGCAACCATTGCCTTCGAATGATACGGGAAACGACAGAAGTGTTTCCAAGGATCACGTAAGAACTTGTCCTTCTCTTTACAGGGCTTGTACAGGATTGATGCATGTGGTAGGTTGTGGGATGATATTATTTTTTCACTAAATATTTTAGATGATGCAATTGTGTTTTTTTACCAATAACTTGGATTATAATTTTATTTAATTAAATAAATTGATTTTATTTGAATTATATAGCAGAGAGAGAGAACAATAACAAGTGGAAAAATATATAAATATATATATAAAAAATCATTGGAAAAAAAACTTTTATCTAAAAGCAAAACAACATATAATTTATTTGGTTATATTTAATAAATTTATTTATTAAAATTTATTCGTAATATAAATTAAAAGCAAAACAACATATAATTTATTTGGTTGTATTTAATAAATTTATTTGTAATATAAATTGACACGTGCATAAAATTTATTAAATAAAATAAAATAAAAAAAATATTATAACATGTTATCAAATAAAATAAAATAAAAAAATATTATAACATGCTATATATATATTAAAAATATCATAAAAAATAAATATTTAATCTATAATATATAATTTATAAGATACATATGTACATATATGTATACATAAATATGTATGTATATACATACATACTTCTATATATACATACATAAAATACTATGCAATATTATATATAAAAAAATTAGGCCATATGTTGTGGGCTTACTAAATTACGCCAAGTGCTTAGCCCATCAATTCAGGCATGCGTGCAACAGTGATAAGGTAATTATATTTACAAAGACATGGAAAAGAAGACTTACCTACTGCTAGCCATGAAGCTGCTGGTGGAGGAAGATTGGCCGGCTGCTTTCTCCTTCTCTTTTGTTTCTTCTTGTTCCCCACTACTATTCCCTCCTCTCTGTTTGTCCTGTGCTTCCTTATTTTTTTTATGAATTTATTTATGTAACAATACAAAATGAATCTGGTGCAGCTACAAAGTGCGAGCGAGGACAATAGTGATGATCGGACAAATGCTCACGCTTGTTTTTTTGAAAATACACATATTTACTCCAAATCTTTCATGAACATATATATATATATATATATATTTATTTATTTATTTTGTGCGTGTTTATCTTTCTGTCTTATAATATCCTAACAAAATACAATCATGATTAATAAAAACCTCTTTTCATTGTGTACACGTATCATATTTGTACCTTTTCCTCTGAATTCAAACCAACACAACGAGCAATTTTATCTAAAAACTATGTCAATTTTGAAGATGGAATTAGAGACCTGGGAAGAGATTATTCTACAACATGAGGTGTGGAAAACTAAAAAAATTGCACATTAATTAGTGTGAGACAATCAATGCAACAAAAGGGTTCATCCTTATTTATCTTATTTTTTCCCCTTCTGCATGTAATCCTTGTTTGAGTCCCTTACTATTAATTACATGCCTCAAATAATTACCAAAGAACAAGGCATACAAGTCCCAGCAGCTCCTGCTGGCTATCAAAGTGGTTATGCTGCTCGTCTTGTAGCGCGCAACTACCAGTCATCGCATCTTGAGCACCATCCATTCTTTGTTTTGTGTTGTTTTATTTTTTTTTGAAGGAAAACGGCGTCCTTTGCTATTAATATAGCGGTATTCTAATCCCTTTAATACTATCCCAGAAGCTTTACTCCTATTGTTTCTTCACTAAATTCCTATTGGCAACTTCGTTCCCTATGGCTGACTCTGAACATTCTTCTTCTGATGAAACTTCTGTGTATTCGAGAGGTACGATACTGTTGACACTCACTTTTGTGGTCTCTCCTTCTTTACCTACACAGCTTGTTGGTAAAAATATCAACGGTATTTTGTCCCTTCTAAGTTTTGTTACCTTTTGCTGCTTTTACTTGAGATGTTTGTTCACGACAAGGGTGGGTGTTTCTTTGTTGGACTATTTGTTCAATAATATATTTGAGTTTATTGATTTTGGGATGTTTTGTTCAGAGGAAACAAGTCAGGAATCAAAGCTTGAATTCTCTGAGGATGAGGAGGCACTTATAATTAGGATGTTTAATCTAGTTGGAGAGAGGTTTGTTTGTTGCCCTTTTGTTTTTCCATTTCAATGACTTTGTTAGCCTTCAGATTCAAAATATTTAACCTCAAGTTTTAATAATTTGATCAGGTGGTCTCTGATTGCCGGAAGGATTCCTGGAAGAACAGCTGAGGAAATAGAGAAGTACTGGAACACTAGATACTCTACAAGTGAATGAAGCTGTAAAAGCATAAGTTCTGCTTTCTTTACCTCTGCTAGAGCAAGTTCTGAGCCTGTCATTCATAAGCAGAAGATGATGGGCTAAGTTGAGTCTAGCTGTTCTGTAGCTATGCTGTGTTTCATGCAACTGTTGTCTTTGATTGCTGAAGGAACTGCAACCATTTAGTTGTTGCTATTAGATTAGTGTCCATTGTGAATATCACCATGTTTCTAAGCTTCCCTTTAATTTTTTTTTAACTGTTTCTATGTTTTTATTGTGCATCGGTAAGTTTTGATTTACCAAATCTTGAGTTTAATGATTATTATAATAAGTTAAAAATATTTTATTATAATATGACATATATTAATCCTGATGAGTTGAAGATATGTTACTTACACGTTATCACCTTTATAAAAAAATGAGGCAAGATAGGCTATAAAAAGGAATAAAGATGGTTGATCTAACATGTCATCCGAATTTGGCATATCACTGCCCTTTGATGGCGATGCTGATAGGAATGGATTCTTTCAGTCCGATCGAGATTGAACAAACGAATATCAGAAGCCTCTTTTTTTTTTTTTTTCTTTTTCACGCAATTCAGCTAAGACTTTTTATAACATTAACAATTAAAAAAAAAAGATCTTTATTGTGGAAAAAATTCAGGAGAAAGAAAGTTTTTGAGTGATCGAAATTTCAACCACCAATTTTGATGTTAAAGGATTCGTTTTTGAAGGAGAAACTGTCTTTTATGATATGAGTGGGGAACACAAATCTTGAACGTGGTTTCAAACACAAATTGAGATTCCTAAAATTTTTTAAAATTTGGTTTAATTTAATTTTGGGTATTTATAAAAAAAAAAATTAAACCCATTTATAGCAATTTTTTTCTTTTCAAGTCTCTGGAATTTTAATTGTTTCAATTTAATTCTTTCAAGATATATTTTACATGGTTTTATGTACTGAACTCTATTTTGATTTGTTTTCTCTCACTTACCTTGTATTTCATAAAATATGCGGACATTAAAGTAACAACAAATTTTAAGAGATAAATTTTTAAATTATTGTTAAAAAGTACTGAGAGATGAAGGACTAAAATTGGCATAAAGAAAACACCAAAGTCCTTTTTCACATAAGGCGCAAAACTATAATTTGGAGCCTCGGGTTTAATGTTGAAATGATATAAAATGAGAGGTAAGATATCTAACACATTTTGTTGATCAGCAATAAAGAAATTAACCAAGCATTCTAGTGTATTACATGCCTGTCAGTGATTTTTACAGCTCCAATTACACATTAGCAAGCTTGATAATCGAGGCGAGTGAGCTGAGAAGCAGTCACGAGACCAGAAGTACCAGATAGCATCTGGGTTGAGCTATACATTGCTTTGTTTATATAGCTTGGTATCAAGTACTTGCTTACCGCACATAGCACAAACTCCTGCAAAATTAAGAGCAACATCAGAACTTGTTGCAAAACAATTACTAATATTCTCAACTCAAAATATCTTCTCATTACTAATATTCTCAACTCAAAATATCTAAATCAGAACATCAACGACAGTACCTTTTGAATAAGCACATGTGTGACAGTACTTGGCATCTTGGTGTACTTGCTGCTTGCAAATGATGCACTTGGTATTTCCATAAGGACTCCATCTGCATGATATGGAAATCCAAATAAGTTCATGTAGAATCACACCATCAGAATTACTGATGTGAAAATCCATGACTACTGAGAAACACCAACATTTCAACAATCTATCAGGTCAAAAGGAAAAAGAAAAGTTACAGTGCAATATAAATACACAAAGCAAACTATAAAAAGGTAAACTTTCAACCCAGACTGCAAAAAAGAATTCAGTGATCTGTAACCTCAACTACTGTAGTAGCTACACTATTCCAATCCTGATTCCAGAACTCTAATTCCCAAGTCACCCTCCAGCAACTATTGCTCCTTGCAATCTGCAAGTCCTTTACTTTGCAAACCATAAAACACAATCTTAAAAGATACATCAAGCTAAGATGCAAACATCCCCAATACTCATTCATAAGCTTCTTCACAAACCAATACACTTAGGAAGCCAAATTCTTCCCTTTTCTCTTCTTCCTTTTCTTTTGAAAATTCTAGCATGTTATCACTAATCCCTCAATTAGCATAAGAGCTCAATCCTCCCCGCTAAAAGATACTCCAACCCCAAATGTGATTCAAACCCCACAAATCTGAAACTCCTCTCACTCCCCTGGAGTTTGTTTCCATATCCTCCCCTTCCTTGAACCTAAAACTAGCTCATGAACACTTTTCCCCTGCAGAACAGATAACCCAAACAAATAACTAACCTATTGTCACACCCACAAGTCCCAAAACATGAACTGCGAAGCAAGAACCTGCACATTCCCCCGAGTCATGATTCATTCATATGCTAAAAAAAATACCATAAGAATCACACCATCACACAGCATTACCACATGTTACTAATTATTTCACACTATCTACTCACTACTGAGAAATCCCAACATAAAAACACGAGAGCTCCGTGAATAGAAAATTATTTTTATTTTTTCACCTAACATTCAACGATCACAGACAGAAGCTAGCAAACAATGTCTTCGTCGTCGTCGTCGTCATCATCATCATGATAATAATAATAATAATACCAGAAAAGAAAAAAAGGGAACCTTTTTTTCTTAGAGAGGAGTTTATTCTCGTTGATTTTCCGGCCACCGCCTTCGGTGGTGTTGCTAGCTCCTTCCTTCCACTTATCAGGAACGATCACTTTAGCTAACTTCTTTTCACCTAATTAAAAAATTAAATCTCATAAATCGAAACAAAATTAGAATAATTAATGACTGATTAAGTACATTGGGATGGGAGATTGAGAGACTTACACTTCTCGCAAACCATTTTTGTTGTTTTCTCTCTGATTCGGGGATTCTAGGATACAAGTCGTTGCTTTGTATGCATAGAGTTTCTGGATTGGACGATTTAATTGACTAAAGTGTCCTTAGTGCGAAAGGGAATTTCCAGCTGCTGCAAGTAATGTATATTTTTCAAATACATATATTTTTATTTTTTAATAATTAAGACGTTTCAAAGCCAGCTTGCTAGGAATTCAAACTAATATATGCACACTTTTTAATAATTAAGACGTTTCAAAGCCATCTTGCTAGGAATTCAAACTAATATATGCGCGCGCGCACACACAAAGAATGTAAACTTATCTAGAATAATTACACATAATCTTTTCAAATAAATATTTTTATTAAATTCAGTTTGATTCAACAAATTAACTTGAGATAGTTGATTCTTATAAATAAAAAAATTAAAGAAAAATTAAACCAACATGCATTTATAAAAAAATCTGAATTATCATGTGATAAAAATAATTTAATTAAAATTTATTAATTTTAAAAAAATTAATATTTTTAAAATAATAATTTTTTTAAATAAATTTTTTTTAACACGTACCAATCAATTCCAAGTCAAGTTTAATACTGACTTGTCCTAAGTAGAATGATAACCCATCCTCGTGGATGGATGAAAGATGCAGACTACCAGCACCTAAGAAAGATTTTATGATTCCTAGAAATTGGTATATATATATTATCATTTCGAGGGTTATAAAAAAAAATAAGGAAAGAAGAGAAAAGTCTATAAACTCAAGTCATTTCTAAAAATATTTATTAAAAAAAAACTCGATCACAGGTTGATTTTTATTATGTATATTGCAAACAATACAATAATGTTTACTCGCGAATAGAAATGGTACATTACAAATAGGCATATGACCGCATCAACAAACACTAATTAGTCATAGTGGATGCTCTCACGTACTTGGAGCTTTTCCCAAATAACAAAACACAAAGAAAAAACTATTGCCAAGCCAAAGCCACCATTTTTGATTGAAAAGAAGAAGAAAGAAACACACCAAGGAGACAATAAAGCATAGGAATTCTCATATTTAGGCATCTGGATTGGCCAAGAAGTAGGCTTCAACAGCCTTGAACAAGCCTGCTGTCTTTTTGCCATACACATCCTTGATTTGATCTTTGTTGATCTCAGCATCACCCTTGATGTAGTATGTGCTGGTTCTCTTGCAAATGGAACCTCCCTCAGGAGTTGGCACGAACTTGTGCTCGTAAGTCACCTTTTCAACTGCATCCTTCCAAACATTGGCTTCAATCAAGCTGAAGCTGTAGGTCAAGTTCTCTTTGTCAATTGCCTCAATCTTCTGCTTGGCATAACTGAGATCTTTTCCTGCAAGTGCAAAATCAATTTGTTACTTCTTTGTGCGGTACATACAGCGAGTGCTATGCTGATTTCAATATAGTTAATATAATTAAAAGTAATTGCAACATAAAATATACTAACCTTCGGCAAAAGTGATCTTCCTGATGGTTCCAGGCCCTCCATTTCCTTCAATTATCTCAGAGCTCTTAATGTGCTCCGGTAGAATTTTAGGCAAAAGAGTGTCAATTTCAAGGCAGTATGCCTTGAAAAGCTTGGCTGGAGCGACAGCAACAGCAAACTCATTTTCCAAAGTGATAACACCCATTATAACTTAGGATTTTATAAGATCACAAAAGGGGGAGAGATTTTGTTGATTTGCAGGATGTTTTTGCGGTGCTGAAACAAGAGGAGAGGTAGTATTTATAGGATGAAATTGAAGGTTATGTGGCGTGAAAGGATCACATACATGTATCAAAGAGTAGCACTAAATTCTTCATGTGCTGTTCATGGTCATTCATTTTTTTAAATAATATATGCACTGGTCAAATAAAACACCTATGAAACCATATAAAATTGTTAATTGACTATGTTTATACACTCTATCATTTATTCAATAAAGAAAGGGAAATCCCAGCACATCAATTTCCAGGAATATGATCACCACAAAGAATGCCCACGATCATTATCAATTGGTCAAATGAAGCGCCTATCAATGTCGATGGTATAATAAATTAATAATTTGACAAAAAACCAAAATACAAAATCTAGAAGGTATAATTTGGCAGGCTTCCAAATAATGTGATTATTTTAAAAATATTTTTATTTAGAAATATTAAAAAAAATTGAAGTAAAGAAAAAAATTAAATATTTAAAGAACATTTTTAAAATACAAAAATAAACCAACTTTATGTATTACTATAATGTACTGATAATTTTGTTTTGAAGAATTAAGCTAATTGAAAAACAAAATAATTTTTTTTCATAAACCTCAATTGATGACATTATCAAATTGAATGAGATAAGTTAGTTTTTTTTTAATAGTGAAATTATTAATTTATTTTAATTAAAAAACTAATCGGAGGCAAGGAGTGTTTTTTACCTTAACATTTTAATTCCATGAACTTCCTCGAGGGGTATTTTCACCATTTTTTTTATTGCATTTTTGTAATATAACCAAAGGCTGGGTTAAGACGAAGGCTGAGCCTACGCAGTGCTAAGGCGATGGTACAACATCAATATCCAAAGCTTACTGTTTGCAGGTGGCCCAGGTTCTACTAGGAGTATTAGGGAGCCCTAAATATAAATTAGTGAAGAAGGTGACGTGGGGATTCACTTTTAATTTATTATACTCGAACAAAATATTGTTTTAATATATTTTTAAATAAAAAATATTTTAAAACATAATTATTATTATATTTTTAAACACTCTTGTTTTAAGGAATGGCCAGAAGAGCCAGAATCCATTAATGTTAAGAAATCTTAATTACTTCATATAAACACTACTTTTATATTGATATTTTTATATGACATTTTTTTAATGACTAACATGCTTATTTAGCATATTAACCATGTTGAAAATACATTTTCATTGTACAAAATTATGGTTTAAAATATTAAAAAATCAAATGTAAAGAAAGAAACTCTAAAGAGGTTTAGTTTGGTCACTCCATAAAAGTTTGGAGTAGGAATAATAATAATACAATGAATAGAATAGAGCCACATTTTCAATAGAATTTGATTCAGTCAAAGTAAGACGCTCCATAATTATATTAAGGCTGCATTTAATACAAGGTTAAAAAATTGAAGGTGAAATGTTAAGGGGGTGAGTTTGATAATAATTGAAAAAGTTATTTATTATAATTGGAGCCATCTTAGTCTTTAGATTTATAAATAATATTATAGTTCTCACACTTTCACGTGGACAAATTAATATTTTAAAATATAATAAACTATAGGACCATATAAATTCTTTAAACACAATTGTTTTTTTATGTGCATACATATCTATTGGTTGGATTCTACAATTGTTCTCAAGTCCATAAACTCATCAAGTCCTCTCGGAAAATATATAAGGAAACACAAAGCTTTTATTATGTATATTGCAAACAATACAATAACTTAATAGAAATGCTTCCATACAAATAACCACATGACCACAAAATCAAATACTATATATCAAGGCAGAAAAAATTTATCCAAAAAAAAGAAGAAGAAGCATTTGCCACACCGAAAAGACTATCAAACATGGGAATTCTCGTATTTAGGCATCTGGATTGGCCAAGAAATAGGCCTCAACAGCCTTGAACAAGCCTGCTGTCTTTTTGCCATACACATCCTTGATTTGATCTTTGTTGATATCAGCATCACCCTTGATGTAGTATGTGCTTGTTCTCTTGCAAAAGGAACCTCCCTCAGGAGTTGGCACGAACTTGTGCTCGTAAGTCACCTTTTCAACTGCATCCTTCCAAACATTGGCTTCAATCAAGCTGAAGCTGTAGGTCAAGTTCTCTTCGTCAATAGCCTCAATCTTCTGCTTGGCATAACTGAGTTCTTTGCCTGCAAGATATATGTGTCGATGACCAGTGCTAATTAGTTCTTCACATTCTGTTCATGGACATTATCTGTTTAAATTAAATAATTTATGTCCTAGTCAAATAAAGCATCTATGAAACCATATAAATTCTTAATCGACAATTCTCCATCATTTATTCAATACTACGAAAAAAAGAGTGAATTGTAGAACATCAATTTCGTGGTTGTAGAAGTCATTGCAAAAAGAAGTCTTACGTTCTCATTATTTCAAGTGCCTGGTCGGAAGCAGGCTGAAAAAGGAGGCAGTCCGTCATGCTGGGCGCAGCCCCGTTGGGTGGTCTTTTAAAAATCAATAATACAATAAAAAAGAAGAAAAAGGCAGGGGATACATAAGAAAAGTCACAAGTCAAAACCCTTATCCACAGATCTAATTATATGTCTAATGCTTATAGAGATGGGCTAACTTTTTTTCACCCTTTATTTATAACGTGAAACATTTTTCACTCTTTCATTATAACTTACTATTTAAAATTATAATAAAAGTATTTTTTATTTAGAAATATATTAAAATAAGTTTTTTATTTTAAAAAAATATTTTTAATATCAATACTTCAAAATGATTAAAAATATATAAAAAAATATTAGTTGAAGTAAAACAAATATTTCAAAATTTTTAAGGACACCCCAGGTACACAATGTGCCTGCTCTCACAGGGAACTTCTCCTAAATCTATTTTTAATTAATTAACTGAAAATTAAGATAAATGTTCATAAAAAGACAATAATTAAAATAAAAAGGTATTTTTATGTAATTTGTTTTGAAAATAAAATGATGTTTTACAAGTCAAAAGATTTCTCAAATAAAAATAATGGTAATTAAAATAAATATTCATAAAAATTTCAATGATGTTAATTAAAATTAATTAAAGAGAGAAAAATGATTATCTTTAATTAGAAACTTCACTTTCTTATTCACGTATTTCTTTTTTAAAAATAAAATAAAATATGCTTTTATTAGAAACATTATGTTTTAAATAAATATTATCATAATTATAAAAGAAAGTTTCAATAAAAAAATCATGAATTAATCATTTAACAATTATTATTACTGAATATCAAAGAGAGATTTAAAAAAAAATGCTTCCTAATGCTCTTGTAAACTAGTGCATAATTGAATAATTATTTAACTATAATTTCAATAAATTTATTTAGAGATAATTTCAACATATGCTTGGGTTTAGGAGGGGTTGTCCCGAGCATAAAACAGACTAGGCTTCTAAAGGCTTGAAAGTCCAAGCTAGCACCTCTTGGCCTTTCTCTTTAATGGAAAAATACCATGTTGTTCACCCTAAATTTTCGTGAGGCTAGGCAACTCGTAGTCTTTTAGCATAGATTTAAGCCACTTTTTATAGTAAAAAAAATCAAAATTAGAGTTTTACAACACACAAAAATCCATTTTCAAATTCATTTTTATCTAAAAACATGTAAAAAATATGTCAAGGACCCTTTAAACCCATTTTTAACTTGACGAAGAGCCCATACTACCTCCATGAAACTCATCTTTGTAATAGAAACTTATTTATACCAAAATGGTTTATTTTATATATATAGTTAAAATGTGCTTGATTGAGCACTCTTTTTATTTTTTTTTTAATTTTTTTGATGACGTTTTCTTTCATCTCTTAACACAGAGAAATGAAAAAAAACGCTCATATACATTATTCCATACAAATAACCACATGACCACAAAACCAAATACTATATATCAAGGCAGAACAAATTTATCCAAAAAGAAGAAGAAAAAGCATTTGCCACACTACTGCCAAGGCCAGAGAAAAAAAAGAAAGAAACAAGCCACACCGAAAAGACTATCAAACATGGGAATTCTCATATTTAGACATCTGGATTGGCCAAGAAATAGGCCTCAACAGCCTTGAACAAGCCTGCTGTCTTTTTGCCATACACATCCTTGATTTGATCTTTGTTGATATCAGCATCACCCTTGATGTAGTATGTGCTTGTTCTCTTGCAAATGGAACCTCCCTCAGGAGTTGGCACGAACTTGTGATCGTAAGTCACCTTTTCAACTGCATCCTTCCAAACATTGGCTTCAATCAAGCTGAAGCTGTAGGTCAAGTTCTCTTTGTCAATTGCCTCAATCTTCTGCTTGGCATAACTGAGATCTTTTCCTGCAAGTGCAAAATCAATTTGTTACTTCTTTGTGCGGTACATACAGCGAGTGCTATGCTGATTTCAATATAGTTAATATAATTAAAAGTAATTGCAACATAAAATATACTAACCTTCGGCAAAAGTGATCTTCCTGATGGTTCCAGGCCCTCCATTTCCTTCAATTATCTCGGAGCTCTTAATGTGCTCTGGTAGAATTTTAGGCAAAAGAGTGTCGGTCTCAAGGCAGTATGCCTTGAAAAGCTTGGCTGGGGCGACAGCAACAGCAAACTCATTTTCCAAAGTGATAACACCCATTATAGACTTAGGATTTTGAAAGACGGAGAAGGGGGGAGAGATCGATTTTGTTGATTTGGAAGATGTTTTTGCTGGTGCTGAAACAAGAGGAGGAGAGGTAGTATTTATAGGATGAAATTGAAGGCTATGTGGTGTGAAAGGATCACATATATGTGTCGATGACCAGTGCTAATTAGCTCTTCACATTCTGTTCATGGACATTATCTGTTTTAAATAATTTACGTCCTAGTCAAATAAAGCACCTATGAAACCATATAAAATTCTTAATCGACAATTCTCCATCATTTATTCAATACTACGAAAAAAAGAGTGAATTGTAGAACATCAATTTCGTGGTTGTAGAAGTCATTGCAAAAAGAAGTCTTACGTTCTCATTATTTCAAGTGCCTGGTCGGAAGCAGGCTGAAAAAGGAGGCAGTCCGTCATGCTGGGCGCAGCCCCGTTGGGTGGTCTTTTAAAAATCAATAATACAATAAAAAAGAAGAAAAAGGCAGGGGATACATAAGAAAAGTCACAAGTCAAAACCCTTATCCACAGATCTAATTATATGTCTAATGCTTATAGAGATGGGCTAACTTTTTTTCACCCTTTATTTATAACGTGAAACATTTTTCACTCTTTCTATTATAACTTACTATTTAGAATTGTAATAAAAGTATTTTTTATTTTGAAATATTTTAAAATTATTTTTTTTTATTTTTAAAAAATTATTTTTAATATTAACACTTCAAAACTATTAAAAAACATAAAAAAAATATTATTTTAAGTAAAAAAAATATTTCAAAATTTTTAAGAACACCCCAGGTACTCAATGTGCCTGCTCTCACAGGGAACTTCTCCTAAATCTATTTTCAATTAATTATCTGAAAATTAAAATAAATGTTCATAAAAAGACAATAATTAAAATAAAAAAGGTATTTTTATGTATTTTTTTAAATAAAATGATGTTTTACAAGTAAAAGGATTTCTCAAATAAAAATAATGGTAATTAAAATAAATATTCATAAAAATTTCAATGATGTTAATTAAAATTAATTAAAGAGAGAAAAACGATTCTCTTTAATTAGAAACTTCACTTTCTTATTCACGTATTTCCTCTTTTTTTTTTAAATTAAAATATGCTTTTTTATTAGAAACACATTATGTTTTAAATAAAAACTATCATAATTATAAAAGAAAGTTTCAATAAAAAAAAAATTATGAATTAATCATTTAACAATTATTATTACTGAATATCAATGAGAGAATTTTTTTTTAAAAAAAGCTTCCTAATGCTCTTGTAAACTAGTGCATAATTGAATAATTATTTAACTATAATTTCAATATATTTATTTAGAGATAATTTTATTCGAAAATTAAAATAATAAACTTCTTTAAGAACAGACTACATCTGCTTGGGTTTAGGAGGAACAGACTAGGCTTCTAAAGGCTTGAAAGTCCGAGCTAGCACCTCTTGGCCTTTCTCTTTAATGGAAAAATGACATGTTGTACACCCTAACTTTTCGTGAGGCTAGACAACTCGTAGTCTTTTGGTATAGCTTTAAGCCACTTTTTATAGTAAAAAAATCAAAATTAGAGTTTTAAAACCCACAAAAATCCATTTTCAAATTGATTTTATCTAAAAACATGTAACAAATATGTCAAGGACCTTTTAAACCCATTTTTAACTTGACGAAGAGCCCATACTACCTCCATGAAACTCATCCTTGTAATAGAAACTTATTTATACCAAAATGGTTTATTTTATATATATATGTATGTATGTATATATATATATATATATATATATATATATAGTTAAAATGTGCTTGATTGAGCACTCTTTTTATTTTATTTTTTATTTTTTTTATGACGTTTTCTTTCATCTCTTAACATGCAGGGATGAAAGCATGAAAAAAAAGTTTAGGATCTAAGATTAGAATAACTAATGTCGGATTAAGTAGATCGGAATGAGAGGTTGAGAGATTCACACTTTTCGCAAATCCTTTTAGTTTTTTTCCCTAAATCGTGATTCCTTGAGAAGCAGAGAGATTGGAGAGATGAGTCGTTGCTTTGTATATATAGAGTTTCTGGATTGGACAATTAAATTGACTGAAGCATCCTTATGGAATTTCCTGTTGCGGCAAGTAACGTATATTTTTGAAATATTCATGTTCTTAATTTTAATTACGAATTTTTACTCTAATAATATGGAATTCAAACAAGTGCACACTCACACACAGACAGAGAAATGAAAAAAAACGCTTATATCCTTTGTTGATAATCAATCAATCGATGTTCATAATAATACATACATCAAAAAAACTTAATCACAAGTTGGATTTTATTTTATATTGCAAACAATACAATAATGTTCACTCACAGATAGAAATGGTACAGTACAAATAACCACACCAACAAGGAATAGTGGATGCTCGACGTGCTAGAGTTTTTCCCATATAACAAAAATAAAGGAAAAAAAAAAACTATTGTCACGCCAAAGCCACTCTCCTTTTGATTAAAAAAAAGCAAACAAACAAAAGAGACAATAAAGCATAGGAATTCTCGTATCTAGGCATCTGGATTGGCCAGGAAGTAGGCTTCAACAGCCTTGAACAAGCCTGCTGTCTTTTTGCCATACACATCCTTGATTTGATCTTTGTTGATCTCAGCATCACCCTTGATGTAATATGTGCTGGTTCTCTTGCAAATGGAACCTCCCTCAGGAGTTGGCACGAACTTGTGCTCGTAAGTCACCTTTTCAACTGCATCCTTCCAAACATTGGCTTCAATCAAGCTGAAGCTGTAGGTCCAGTTCTCTTCGTCAATAACTTCAATCTTTTGCTTGGCATAACTGAGTTCTTTACCTGGAAGTACAAAATCAGTGTGTTACTTCTTTTTGTCGTGCATATATTGAGTGGTATGCTGATTTCAATATAGTTAATTTAATTAAAAGTAATTGCAACAAATAATATACTAACCTTCAGCAAAAGTGATCTTCCTGATGGTTCCAGGCCCTCCATTTCCTTCAATTATCTCAGAGCTCTTAATGTGCTCCGGTAGAATTTTAGGCAAAAGAGTGTCAATTTCAAGGCAGTATGCCTTGAAAAGCTTGGCCGGGGCGACAGCGACGGCAAACTCGTTTTCCAAAGTGATAACACCCATTATAACTTAGGATTTTATAAGATCACAAAAGGGGGAGAGATTTTGTTGATTTGCAGGATGTTTTTGCGGTGCTGAAACAAGAGGAGGAGAGGTAGTATTTATTGGATGAAATTGAAGGCTATGTGGTGTGAAACGATCACATACATGCATCAAAGAGCAGTCCTAAATTCTTCATATTCTGTTCATGGTCATTCTTTGTTTTAAATATTGCATGTCCTGGTCAAATAAAAAAAAATCTTAATTGACTATATATGTTCTCCATTATTTATTCAATAAATAAAAGAAAGAGGGAAAATCTGTATATCAATTTCATGGAAAAATATTTTGAAAAAAGGGGATTTGAAAACTTAAAAGTCAAGCCTAAAGTTTAAAATAATTATAAGAGAATAGAGATAGAGAAAAAAATCTTTGTTTCTGAATTGTTTTGATATTCACATAAAAAATAATTTTCTTAAAATATAAAAAAATATTATTTTAATATATTTAAAAGAATTAAAACACCCTACATCTACCGCAAACAAAGAAGGCAATCGCAAACCAGGGCTTGGCCTAGCGGTAGAAGGGGCTTGTCTCTTTCCACTGCACCTGGGTTCGAGTCCTAGCGTGCACGTCTGTCACCCCCGCGGTGCCTTACATGCTTACTGGGTTTGCAGGGTATTCAGTGGGCCGTGGGAATTAGTCGTGGTGCGCGTAAGTTGGTCCGGACACCCTACGTAAATAAAAAAAAAAAAAAAAAAAAGAAGGCAACCCCCAATCCACTGCTACAGGATAACAAACAAGGAAGGCAGACAATCATTAGCAGATGGTCAAGTGAAGCGCCTACCAATGTAGAAGGTATAATTGGACAGGCCGCCAAATAATATAATCGTCAAATATATAATAAATAAATAGTTTTCCTTCTCTCTTTTGAGATAATTGAGAAGGAAACTCCAAGTTGTATTATTTTTAAAAATAATCTTCTAGGCACGACTGCATCCAGAAATAATAATAATAACAAAAAAAATCTTAAATTAGTTTTCAAACTAGAGCACAAATCTCAATTAAGTTCCTGGTTACTATTTTTTTGTCTCAATTTAGACTTGTAAAGTTTTTTAAAAAAATTCTCAAATAATTGTTTTATCATTTTTTTTCATAATTTTTTGTATTAAAAAAATTAATAATTTTTAGAATGATATTTTTCATTTATGATCTCATTTTTTTGATATGGGAAATAATAAAAAGAATTAATATCACAGCATGTTTTTAGTGTCCTTTTTTATAATATTATTAGTGATTCCAATTTAAATAAATAGAGATGTGCTTGGATATTTTTTAAAATTAAACGATCCAATTATAATCATTCCTATCTAGTAATTTCATCTAATAATTTCTTACATTATTACAAGACACCTAGGGAGAGCATGATTTTTTGATGGGGTGTAGTAGATTGTGAGACTAACAGGTCACAGCTAAGCAAAGCCCTTCCCAAATCAATAAATTAATTTTGCTAAAGAATTAGTATGGATAATGCATCTCCTCATATATGGCACTTTAATGTGTTGATTTCTTCGGGCCTGCACACTCGAGATTTTTCATTTTATCGATGACCATGGCGCACTGCACGTATATTTTTATGGATGCTATTGCTTCACATTATTATTATTATTATTATTATTATTATTATTATTATTATTATTATTATTATTATTATTATTACCATATATTAAAAGGCTTTATCATTTTATTGTAGCAATGAATAGTAAAAATGTCAATGTATTTTTTACTTTAGTTTCCAAATTTTTTGAGGAATGTTTTTAATTTTAATTTTTTTTAATTTTATGCTTTAATATTAAGTTTACTAAGTATTGAATTTCATAATTTATTTTAATTAATTTATGAATTTATAAGGTATTAAACTTTATAATTATAAACCTAATTTTCTAATCATTAGGTTTTTTATTTTCTATGTAATTAGATTTTTTTTAAAATTTCCTACATTTCCTACGTAATTATATTTTTTTAAAATTATTATATATTGTACATTTCTCAAAATATAAAGAATATTTTTTTATATTAAAAATATGGTAATGGAGAAGAGCTTACCTCTAATCTAGAATTTCAAAAAGACCTCCACTATAATAACTTTTATAACAAAAAATAAAAAATAATCTTTTTGAAAAACGTTAACATGGATAGTAGCTATTGATAAGGCTGGTAATATTTTAAATATTTTTACATATATTTATAATATTCTAATAGTATATTATAATTGATAATAATATTACTTATTATATATCTTTTAATTTAATTTTAGATATGTCTCATTTTTTAACTATCTCTTAACTAGTCCTTGAAAATATTTATTTTTATTGTCAACGTGAAAATATTTATTTTTATTGTCAACGTTGTATCGACCATAGTTATATGAGAATGTTCTTTAACCCTTACTCATACTTTAAATTTAGATATGTTCTACTTATAATATTATTACATTATTAGATTATAGTTTGTTGTAAATTTATTAAATAACCTCAGCTTTATCTTGTGTGATAATTTTATGGCCATAATATTATGTGTTTAAGGACATTTAAACTAGATGAATGATTGATTATGGTATCTATTAAGATAAGCAATATTACTCATGTAAAATACTTTTGGTAGGTCACATCCACCTTTAATAGTGGTTTGCTATGAGGTCCATTGGTTATGTGTACATAACCAGCATGGCAAATATTTTTGCTCTTCAATATATTATCATTGGAAAACAAATATATAGGAAAGAGGAGAAAGGTCCATAAATTCAAGTGCTCTCTAAAAATATGTAAGAAAACAAATTAAAAAAAAAAAAACCTTCACTACATTGATTCAAAGTAAACGCTTCACGTCATGGTGATTTTTATTATGTATTTTGCAAACAATACAATAACATCAACTATTGAAAAGAACTGCTTCAATACAATTAACCAAATGTCCACAAAATCAAATACTAAAAAATAAAATGATGTTTTACAAGTCAAAAGATTTCTCAAATAAAAATAATGGTAATTAAAATAAATATTCATAAAAATTTCAATGATGTTAATTAAAATTAATTAAAGAGAGAAAAATGATTATCTTTAATTAGAAACTTCACTTTCTTATTCACGTATTTCTTTTTTAAAAATAAAATAAAATATGCTTTTATTAGAAACATTATGTTTTAAATAAATATTATCATAATTATAAAAGAAAGTTTCAATAAAAAAATCATGAATTAATCATTTAACAATTATTATTACTGAATATCAAAGAGAGATTTAAAAAAAAATGCTTCCTAATGCTCTTGTAAACTAGTGCATAATTGAATAATTATTTAACTATAATTTCAATAAATTTATTTAGAGATAATTTCAACATATGCTTGGGTTTAGGAGGGGTTGTCCCGAGCATAAAACAGACTAGGCTTCTAAAGGCTTGAAAGTCCAAGCTAGCACCTCTTGGCCTTTCTCTTTAATGGAAAAATACCATGTTGTTCACCCTAAATTTTCGTGAGGCTAGGCAACTCGTAGTCTTTTAGCATAGATTTAAGCCACTTTTTATAGTAAAAAAAATCAAAATTAGAGTTTTACAACACACAAAAATCCATTTTCAAATTCATTTTTATCTAAAAACATGTAAAAAATATGTCAAGGACCCTTTAAACCCATTTTTAACTTGACGAAGAGCCCATACTACCTCCATGAAACTCATCTTTGTAATAGAAACTTATTTATACCAAAATGGTTTATTTTATATATATAGTTAAAATGTGCTTGATTGAGCACTCTTTTTATTTTTTTTTTAATTTTTTTGATGACGTTTTCTTTCATCTCTTAACACAGAGAAATGAAAAAAAACGCTCATATACATTATTGATAATCAATCAATCGATGTTCATAATAATACAAAGATCAAAAAACTTAATCTCAAGTTGGATTTTATTTTATATTGCAAACAATACAATAATGTTCACTCATGGATAGAAATGGTACAGTACAAATAACCACACCAACAAGGAATAGTGGATACTCGACGTGCTAGAGTTTTTCCCATATAACAAAAATAAAGAAAAAAAAAACTATTGTCACGCCAAAGCCACTCTCCTTTTGATTAAAAAAAAGCAAACAAACAAAAGAGACAATAAAGCATGGGAATTCTCGTATCTAGGCATCTGGATTGGCCAGGAAGTAGGCTTCAACAGCCTTTAACAAGCCTGCTGTCTTTTTGCCATACACATCCTTGATTTGGTCTTTGTTGATCTCAGCATCACCCTTGATGTAATATGTGCTGGTTCTCTTGCAAATGGAACCTCCCTCAGGAGTTGGCACGAACTTGTGCTCGTAAGTCACCTTTTCAACTGCATCCTTCCAAACATTGGCTTCAATCAAGCTGAAGCTGTAGTTCAAGTTCTCTTCGTCAATAGCCTCAATCTTCTGCTTGGCATAACTGAGTTCTTTGCCTGCAAGTAAAATACTAATTCGTTACTTCTTTGTTCAGTACATACAGCGAGTGGTATGCTGATTTCAATATAGTTAATTCAATTAAAAGTAATTGCAACAAATAATATACTAACCTTCAGCAAAAGTGATCTTCCTTATGGTTCCTGGCCCTCCATTTCCTTCAATTATCTTGGAGCTCTTAATGTGCTCTGGTAGAATTTTAGGCAAAAGAGTGTCAATTTCGAGGCAGTATGCCTTGAAAAGCTTGGCCGGGGCGACAGCGACGGCAAACTCATTTTCCAAAGTGATAACACCCATTATAACTTAGGATTTTTAAAGATCACAAAAAGATTGAAAGGGGGAGAGATGGGATGTTTTTGTGGCGCTGAAATAAGAGGAGGAGATGTAGTATTTATTGGATGAAATTGAAGGCTATGTGGTGTGAAACGATCACATACATGCATCAAAGAGCAGTCCTAAATTCTTCATATTCTGTTCATGGTCATTCTTTGTTTTAAATAATGCATGTCCTGCTCAAATAAAAAAACGTAATCTTAATTGACTATATATGTTCTCCATCATTTATTCAATAAATAAAAGAAAGAGGGAAAATCCGTATATCAATTTCATGGAAAAATATTTTGAAAAATTAAAAATTTAAAATTTAAAAGTTAAGCCTAATAGGGGTGGAGACAGGAAAAGGTTGGCAAGGATCCTGGTCCTTGTTAAAAAAAAAAAATTCCAATCTTTTTTAAATTTATTCTTAGTATTTTTATAAAATACTGTATAAATTATAGTATTTTGACCCCTCTTGATTTTATATTTTGTTTCCACCCCTGAAGCCTAAAGTTTAAAATAATTATAAGAGAATAGAGATGAAGATAAGGGGTTAATTTGAGATTGATTTTTAATTTATTTTTTATTAAAATTTAATTTTTTAATTTTATATATTTTTTAATGTTTCTAAATTATTTTAAAATAAAAATAAAAAATAATTTTTTTTAAAATATAAAAAATATTATTTTAATATATTTAAAATTATTCAAACACCCTCCATCTACCGCAAACAAAGAAGGCAACCCCCAATCAACTGCTACAGGATAACAAACAAGGAAGGCAAACAATCATTAGCAGATGGTCAAGTGAAGCGCCTACCAATGTAGAAGGTATAATTGGACAGGCCGCCAAATAATATAATCGTCAAATATATAATAAATAAATAGTATTCCTTCTCTCTTTTGAGATAATTGAAAAGGAAATTCCAAGTTGTATTATTTTTAAAAATAATCTTGTAGGCACGACTGCATCCAGCAATAATAATAATAACAAAAAAAAATCTTAAATTAGTTTTCAAACTAGAGCACAAATCTCAATTAAGTTCCTGGTTACTATTTTTTTGTCTCAATTTAGACTTGTAAAGTTTTTTAAAAAAATTCTCCAATAATTGTTTTATCTTTTTTTTCATAATTTTTATATTAAAAAAATTAATAATTTTTAGACTGATATTTTTCATTTATGATCTCATTTATTTGATATGGAAAATAATAAAAAGAATTATCACAGCATGTTTTTAGTGTCCTTTTTTATAATATTATTAGTGATTCCAATTTAAATAAATAGAGATGTGCTTGGATATTTTTTAAAATTAAACGATCCAATTATAATCATTCCTATCTAGTAATTTCATCTAATAATTTCTTACATTATTACAAGACACCTAGGGAGAGCATGATTTTTTGATGGGGTGTAGTAGATTGTGAGACTAACAGGTCACAGCTAAGCAAAGCCCTTCCCAAATCAATAAATTAATTTTGCTAAAGAATTAGTATGGATAATGCATCTCCTCATATATGGCACTTTAATGTGTTGATTTCTTCGGGCCTGCACACTCGAGATTTTTCATTTTATCGATGACCATGGCGCACTGCACGTATATTTTTATGGATGCTATTGCTTCACATTATTATTATTATTATTATTATTATTATTATTATTATTATTACTACCATATATTAAAAGGCTTTATCATTTTATTGTAGCAATGAATAGTAAAAATGTCAATGTATTTTTTACTTTAGTTTCCAAATTTTTTGAGGAATGTTTTTAATTTTAATTTTTTTTAATTTTATGCTTTAATATTAAGTTTACTAAGTATTGAATTTCATAATTTATTTCAATTAATTTATGAATTTATAAGGTATTAAACTTTATAATTATAAACCTAATTTTCTAATCATTAGGTTTTTTATTTTCTATGTAATTAGATTTTTTTTAAAATTTCCTACATTTCCTACGTAATTATATTTTTTGAAAATTATTATATATTGTACATTTCTCAAAATATAAAGAATATTTTTTTATATTAAAAATATGGTAATGGAGAAGAGCTTACCTCTAATCTAGAATTTCAAAAAGACCTCCACTATAATAACTTTTATAACAAAAAATAAAAAATAATCTTTTTGAAAAACGTTAACATGGATAGTAGCTATTGATAAGGGTGGTAATATTTTAAATATTTTTACATATATTTCTAATATTCTAATAGTATATTATAATTGATAATAATATTACTTATTATATATCTTTTAATTTAATTTTAGATATGTCTCATTTTTTAACTATCTCTTAACTAGTCCTTGAAAATATTTATTTTTATTGTCAACGTGAAAATATTTATTTTTATTGTCAACGTTGTATCGACCATAGTTATATGAGAATGTTCTTTAACCCTTACTCATACTTTAAATTTAGATATGTTCTACTTATAATATTATTACATTATTAGATTATAGTTTGTTGTAAATTTATTAAATAACCTCAGCTTTATCTTGTGTGATAATTTTATGGCCATAATATTATGTGTTTAAGGACATTTAAACTAGATGAATGATTGATTATGGTATCTATTAAGATAAGCAATATTACTCATGTAAAATACTTTTGGTAGGTCACATCCACCTTTAATAGTGGTTTGCTATGAGGTCCATTGGTTATGTGTACATAACCAGCATGGCAAATAGTTTTGCTCTTCAATATATTATCATTGGAAAACAAATATATAGGAAAGAGGAGAAAGGTCCATAAATTCAAGTGCTCTCTAAAAATATGTAAGAAAACAAATTAAAAAAAAAAAAACCTTCACTACATTGATTAAAAGACAACGCTTCACGTCATGGTGATTTTTATTATGTATTTTGCAAACAATACAATAACATCAACTATTGAATAGAACTGCTTCAATACAATTAACCAAATGTCCACAAAATCAAATACTATTAAAGTAATAGAAGATATACTTCAGTACTCTCGAGTTTTCTTGCCAGTAACAAGGATGGAAAATTTAGCCAAAGGAAGAAGAAAACGCAATAACCACACTGCCAAAGACAACCAAGTTTTACCCAAAGGAAGAAGAAAAGGCTATAACCACACTGCCAAAGACAGCCGAAAAAAAGCACACACACATGGGAATTTGCCTATTTAGGCATCTGGATTTGCCAAGAAGTAGGCTTCAACAGCCTTGAACAAGCCTGCGGTCTTTTTGCCATACACATCCTTGATTTGATCTTTGTTGATCTCAGCATCACCCTTGATGTAATATGTGCTGGTTCTCTTGCAAATGGAACCTCCCTCAGGAGTTGGCACGAACTTGTGCTCGTAAGTCACCTTCTCAACTGCATCCTTCCAAACATTGGCCTCAATCAGGCTAAAGCTGTATGTCAAGTTCTCTTCATCAATAGCCTCAATCTTCTGCTTGGCATAACTGAGTTCTTTGCCTGCAAGTAAAATACTAATTCGTTACTTCTTTGTTCAGTACATACAGCGAGTGGTATGCTGATTTCAATATAGTTAATTTAATTAAAAGTAATTGCAACAAATAATATACTAACCTTCAGCAAAAGTGATCTTCCTGATGGTTCCTGGCCCTCCATTTCCTTCAATTATCTCGGAATTCTTAATGTGCTCTGGTAGAATTTTAGGCAAAAGAGTGTCGGTCTCAAGGCAGTATGCCTTGAAAAGCTTGGCCGGGGCGACAGCAACAGCAAACTCATTTTCCAAAGTGATAACACCCATTGTAACTTAGGATTTTAAAAGACTGAGAAGGGGGGAGAGATTTTGTTGATTCGGAAGATGTTTTTGTGATGCTGGAACAAGAGGAGGAGAGGTAGTATTTATAGCATGAAATTGAAAGGATCACAC